AAGCCGCAGTCAGTCAGTCGGCTTTTCCGCGTGCTCCGGGTTTTTAGCCGGGTGATAGCCGGCTGCTGCATCGGTGTCTGCAATCGGAAAACAAGCCCCGAGCCGTATCCACCCCCGACCCTATCGCCTGCGCGCTTGCACTTGCACCCTTCTGCACGATACGGTGTCGATAGAACGTCGTTGATTTACTGTCGCTGCATCGGAGACTTATCGCGAAATTGCGCGGTTGGCGCTTTTTCCAAGACGAGAAACGTCGATGTCGGAAATATGTCTAGATAAAACCGCGACCGCCTTAAAGACAGGCAGTTTCCTGGGTGCCTGTATTACTAATGAAAGAACTTTTCAATCTGCATCATTTCTTTGCTCTTTCTTCAACAAGGGTCGAGATGATTTTTAGATTACCAATGCAAAGATCGTAATACTGTTAATGAGAATGAGACAAAAATTTATCCATAGATAAATTAATTAATTAATTTTTGCCTCGGCTTATTTGAGTCTTAATTTCAAAAAATTCTATCCATAGGTAGATAAATTTATTTTCATGAAAGAGACGACGAATTTCTACTGCGTGTTTTCTGCAAAATCTCTCTCTCTCTCTCTCTCTCTCTCTCGTTTAATAACGTATAAATAATGCAAAGTGAATTTTTAATAATTCGATCGACTTTGAATAATCGAGAGAGACTCTTGGCGAAATAACACGCGTAACGTTACTTTTAGCGAAATGTCAATTTGTTTGTTAATATGCACTGCGCAAATACGCGACATATCACGTACTCGACGCACTCCTTGAATTGAGGTCGCGTTAGTTATTCACGAAATGATATTCATCGACGACGACATCGGCGGTCTCGAACAAACCGCGACTTCCGTGGATCAAATGGGGTAGCGAAATGCATTCTGTCGATGTCGCGAACGATCCGCTCTCGACCCGAGGGACTGAACTTTCGATTGCCGTAACTCGATAACGAGGATAAACTGAGAGATATTTTGTTGCGAGGGAAGCCCGAGAGTTTGTTACAAACCCTGCGTGTCCTTGTCACACCTCTGTCATGCGGAGTTTCGCGGCAAGAGCAACATGAAATTCCGTCTCGCGTCGGGTTTTTTATTAAATCTGCATTGCATAACGAGAGAACAATTTTTCGCTCATATTATTTTTATCTCCAGAACTTTCGCGAACAGACCAGTTCTGAAATCTGGACCACGTGGTGTGATGCTTATATTTCCCGGATGTCGGATTTCGGAGATTAATGGAGCAAAGAGTGCGAAGATAGCACAGGTGCTCGCTAACTGGAGCAAGGGTCGTCTCTATTCACAACTCAAGCGGCCGTTAGACGAGCTCTCTGCGCCCGATCTCGTATCTGTGTACTTTAATTAGTTCTGGGAATCTGCATCGTCGCAATCGCCGCATAGCAGCATCCTGAAATTATAAACTGCAATCGGATTAACTCTACTCTCTTTCTCCCCC